CAAAACGAAATCTTTCCCTTTTAATGGGATGAAACCCAATTCTACTGGAGCGCGTTCAGTAAAGAAATACTCATATGTCATACTTGCAATTGGATCCGAGCTGCTGCTGTGAACTCACAAGCCACCCTTGGCTTTGGTGTCACAGTCTGACGGAGCAGATGCAGAAAATACTCTGCAAAAAAAAAACAACTAACAAACAAACAAACCAAACAGAAACAGATGAATCTCCAGTTCTAGGAAAATAGGATAGGCATCACTGTGGATGAGAATTAATTTTGCAGTTGTTGGAATGCGACCACAAACATGAGGTTTCGGAGCGCTTAACTTAGTTGTTGTAGGCGTTCCATGAGAAACTGCTGTTGAAAAGCGCCCACGTGTCCTGAGATGAACTCGGCTTCTACTGGAAACACACTCTTTGAGAACAGGAGCTTGTGCGGATTGCACATTCATCGCAGGCCTAACACTGACGGCTCCCATCTCTTCCTGCCAGAATCAAAGAAAGCCCTTATCCCGCATTTCCCAAAGTCAGGAAGAGTGCAGATGAACTCCTTGGACCCCAGGAAGAAACGTTCAACGAACAAGGACAGCACAGAAGGAAAGCAATCGATCCATTCAAAACTCACACCTGCATTCGTGTTCCAGTTGGGCAAAGTTCTTCGATGAACGTTCAAATACAACATTGTACATTTACACCCAGGCAAGGATAGGCAGATCTGAAGTAAGGTCTTTGCACAGATGTCTGCAAAAGTCTCCGGGCATAACTTTACTGGCCTAACTAGACGAAGCTTTCGACAAAAGGTGAGCTTTCTAAATTTAGCTGCAATGTTTGCTCTCACCACTAGAGGCCGCCGACAGCAATCTGTACTGATAGGACGCTGTACGGTTCTAGACTAATATCAGAAATATATAATAATCAAGATTACAACATTACCATTCGAATGATCTGTTGCAGAATACCTAGCCGTGGTATCAGTAGCAGTGCAGTACTAGTGGCAATCACATCTGTCTGCACTCTGTAAGAGCTGATGGTTTATACACTGTCAATTCACAATTGTCAGCTCGCAGGTTGGCTGGCTGGGAATCTGATTTAATGGTGGCATTGCTGTACTTCCATTACCGGCTATTGTAGTGTGTGTGTATTTGTGTTCCCTGCGGGTGCTGCGTTACATTCCATTTGAATCGGCGACAGCAGTTCCTGCTCTGAGCTTGTCACTGAATTATTACAGTATTTTCTCGCTTTTTTTTTTTAGGGGGACTACACAACGTGTAGCCTAGGGGCCTCCGATCACCTTAATAGTTCAGTTGGGTAGTTGCGTCACCACGCATAGGCTGCAAAGGAACAAGTAATAGGTTTATTCCAAGCTCAAAAGAGAAGAAACAACATTTTCAACATTTCTCTCAAAAGAGAAGAAAGAAAACAAAATTTCGGCTGTGGAGCCTTTTTTGTAATGTTTTCTTTCTTCTCTTTTGAGCTTGGGATAAACCTATTACTTGTTCCTTTAATATGCTAGGTGTCCCACTGTGGCTGATAAATTATAATCTTTGCCTTCAACAACAATAAAGGAGCACTAAAGATTACACTTATCTAGTTGGCACACGGAAGGCAGGCCAGAGATCAGTTTGAAAGCAAATCAAATCGACGAAAATCAGACGCCGAGATGATGAAATGCACCTCTGTAAGAATGGGTCTGTTTGCAGCTCCGACCCTGAAGAGTCCTATGCAAATTTCAGTTTCTTGGGAGTAGCAGGCCTTCCTGCTAACTGCAGGCTGCCGAATGGCCGTCCCAGCTGGGACATGCCAGAGATAAACAGCGCACTGTACCTGACCTTGGCTCGGAGAGACTTTGCTTCTGCCACTGCAAACAGGAGCCTTGCTCACTGATATAAAACGCCACCTGTTACCGACACCATCTCTCTTTTCCGGGTAGCAAATTAGCAAATATTCTTGTGGAATCTACCTTGGTCTACGGAGAACAAACTCAAAAGTCTACAAAAGTCTACAGACTGAGGCAGCTGCTTCAGAGGAAAGCCTTATCTGAATGTCGGGGGACTTTTCTTAGAAGAGAAAATTATTGTTTTGCCACTGCTTTTGCGGCACCAAACTGCGTTTTTTCCCTTCCATTTCTCGGCACTTCAACATGCAGATCATAGGAGGGGTATTTAGGGTAGTGTCACCAGTCATGGACTCCTAATTATCCCCATCCGTGAACAAGTTTCATCACTCTTCTCCTGCCCACTGAGAGCTGGTGTGTGGGGAGCGGACTGGTGCACTCATTGCCATTGCATCATCCAGGTGGGGCTGCACACTGGTGGAGGTGGAGGGGATCCACATTACCTGTAAAGTACTTTGAGTGGAGTGTCCAGAAAAGCGCTGTATAAGTGTAAGCAATTATGATTAGTGTACTGTGTTACCGCAATGGAACAGGTAAAGAATTATTCCATGCTGAAATGAAAAGAAACAATGTTTCAGCTGTGGACACTTATTCAGGTGTGAGGGAGAGAGGAATTAGTTTAAAAAAAGCATAGGAGAAAAAAACGCTAGTTAAGTAGGGGCGCAGTGCAGGGGGCAATGGACATGAAGCAGGTGAGGACAGGAGGAGAGGTGTGGAATCTGCAAATGAACAGAGAAAATATACTGTATGAGCACGAGTCCGCTGTGTATAAGCGAAAGAGAGCCTCAGTACTGCTCTACCTCTGGTCAAAATGGGCTCGTCTACTGCGCATGTGGTTCAAAGCAAAAAGAACTGAGCCCGTCTCAGTGCCAATACTATAAAGGAATGAGCTCTTACATGCTGCCCCTTTGCTTCACCTTACCTTATTAAGAACGCAGGCTGCCTCATGCTCAACAGCGGGTTTTTGAAAAATAAAGCAACGTTGCGACCCAACCTGCCCAACGTGCAATTTGTAAGGAAATTTAGAACTTTGAGCTGTGCTGCTGCTGCCCCCCGAAATTTCAAACAATGTCCATTCCAGGTGCTATCAGCCCCGGGACAATTAACACATTTCATCTCTCCAGTCACCCGAATAGACGTCGGGCAGTTTAAACATCCAGGATCTGACACCGTTTGAGGGTTTCCATGGCCGAAGGATAAGGCAAAGGAACCTTTGACGGGTTCTATAGAAAATTCAGCAAAGAAAATAATGTTCCTTATTAGGAAAAGGCCTTTTGTGATTATTCATAGTGTAATTTCACAGTCACTTACTACTTAAAATAGCTCTAAACTGATCTGCTGCACTGTAATCACGGTCCAATAAGATGGTCATCTTCACCTGTCCCTCCAGTAACATGACCAGAAAATGTGAACCATCCCAAAGGCTTGACGCTGCTCAATGGAGTAACTTCAAATGATATTGTTTGTCAAACCATGAAACTGTGGCTTTCAGCACTGGGAATCGTACTCGGACTTCAATGTTGCAGCTTCTCAGTCTTAAGTCTTTGCAGGACGTTATTTCCAATAATGCTTTCACAGGCAAATATGCTCACTGATAAAATTGTTTGCTGCACTGACACAAATTCAACACTGAAATAAAACCAGGGGTTATTGTGACTGGTTTCACAGGGTATAATTTTTAAATTAAAAAGGATTACTTGCTACCCACTATAGTGGAGCTCCACCTAGTGGTTAATGCGAAGTATTAATTTCAGTTAATATAAAAATATTAGACCAACTTCAAGATTTTAACATTTATTTTTAATCCCGTTATAGTAAACTCTTCTGATGTTTCAAAATATGCTGTGTAGCAATTTTAAATTAGTATTTCTGCTGCTGCTGCTTTTAAGTGTGGCAAAAAAAAACAACTTTGCACACCAAAAGATTCCCGAAATTGAGGAGGGAAAAGTTATATTCCTTTTCCGTGTCAGCGCTGTCTCTTCAGGGTATAAAGTGTTACTTGGAGAGGGCTCACTGAAGGAGAGAAACAATTGAGACTCGCCAGACACAATTACTCCACTTAGCACTGCTATGATTCGTCAGGCAAGCAAATTGAAAGATGACTTTTTTTGTTGTTTTTGCAATTTGGAATGGAAGAATCCTCCTGTGAAATGGGATATCAGTACCATTAGAGGCAAGAAATGACGCCTTTCATTTATTCACTTACACCGTTTTGTCTTATTTGGGAGATCTGTATGCATTATAGGAGGTTATATGGTGCCACTGGGTAAAGAAAGAGGCTTTTTACAGGACATTTCCCTCTTCCCATCATCTTGTTGTTCTGATAGATGCTTGACCCTCCTGGTAGTCTGCTCTTCAGAAGAGAAGCTAGTCAATACGACTGTGCAGCAACATTGCGTGATGGAGAGTTCAACACTATTGTCACTATTCGGCTTTGCATAAAAATATCTGCAACATTAGTAATTTTGCGCAACACTGGGCTTATTCATTGGTCCCAGCCTTTAATCTACTGATGCCCGTGGGTGCAATTAAACAGCCTCCCAATCTGTACTGTGTCAAGCACTACACATTCCTGACTTTTCTTGACCTGAAGCACAGAGGTCAACGAGATTCTGAAAGAAAGATCCACTACGAGACACGATCCATGCAGCCTAATCAAATCATTGAAAGCAGCACATTGGCAAAAAAAATATATTGTATAAGGCAAAACAAAGCACAAGGGAACTGTGGTTACAAGGACTGCTCACTATGTCTGCTAGAGAAAGATCTACTCAATGTGAAAAAGGCTCAGAAGATGAAAGATGCACAGCATAAATGCCACAGTGTGCAAGACCTGAAATGTTCCTCTTTAGTACATACATTCCAAAGACAACACCGTCACCTCACAACTATTTAGGGACCATACAAGTGAACCCACAAAGAATCTGGATTAGTAATTACTGTCGACATATATACCAATACATACACAGCTACATAAATTACCCGAGTAACGCCAGCCCAAGAATGTGACTGTTCAATTATGAGCCGAAATGTCAATGTACCAGATAGTTTTTATAACTATTTTCTTTACCAATGTAGAACGATAAAAAAGGACAAGAAGAAAACAAGGTTGTTATACATTCTTTAATATTAGATCATATTATATTTGAAAACAAAAATATTAAAGTACCAAAGACTTCGTTTTTATCTATAAACCTGAAACAGTAGCATAGTTACCAACTTTATAACTATTTACCAATTTAAAGACTGAACAAGAAACCCAAGCATGAGTGTCAGCAACGATCCAACAATATATGATGCATGTCTTGGTTGGAATGAAAACGCAAGAAATGCAGAGAACTTCTCAGAAAGAATGGGACCCAAATTCAGGATGTCAATATACTTAAAGTAAACCAGTGTGGAGTTTCTGCATTGTTATAGCTTCTCTAGTGGAGGATTTGTTCTGATCTGTTTCTGCATCTGTCCAGTTCATTGAGAAGGTAAGATGATTCATCCCTGCAATGAAGACCGATACTCTACACTGCACATTTAATGCAGCAGGGTAGTGGGGGAAAAAAGTGTAAATTTTCTCTATTATAATTGGACTATTATTGACACCCACTCTTGGTTTGGCGATATACATTATTCTGATGCATGCATTTTGGATACCATCATATGAGACTAACTTACACAACCATTTTGCATTTTGACTTGTTTTAAAGCAAGGTTAAAAAGCATAAGAACATCGCATACAGCCAAAATGAAGAACTGCCTGGAAAATATAAGAACTGTGGAAGCATTCTACTGGAATTTATTGTGAAGGGCTCGATACCGCAAAACAAAACTGGACTGGAGTTCATTGAAAAAGTCTACTGAAATACTGTAAGGCAGAAAAAGTTTAAAAGCACTTATAAATATATTTTAGTGTTGTACTGTAAAGCTCTGCATTAGAGAAAATAATTTATCAAGAAACTTTGATTATTAGGATCTCTTATTTATAATATTTTCTGCCCAGACATTGCCGTACCTGAATCTTTCATATCGTACAAACAGGTTTTTGAAAGGCTCCCACATCAATTAACACTTCAGAACCCTGGATGTGTCGCATCAAAAACCCGACTTGGTGCACAAATAAATTACAGCTGCAAAAAAGGATTTCACCGTCAGAATTTAACAGGCTTATGATTCAAATGTGAGCATTTAAAATTACCGCACAACAAATTTATTGAAAAACACTGGAAGATGGTAAGTTTGCATTTCTAGTCCAAAATGAATAACAGCAGTGGACAATATGACCCAGCCTCTAGAACACCTCTTCACTGTCATGCTCATATATTAGAATACAACGTTTTACTGTTAAAAAAAAGTGTATTTTCTTTATAAAGTTCTGATATGTTGATCACAAATGTTAAGATTTTAACCAAAAAAAAGCAAGATGTACAAATCCAGGCATTTGGGCAAATGTCCTTTCTGCTGGAGAAATATTCCTTAAATGAATGAGACCATGTCTGTCCACAAGGTGACAGCTGTAAGCCTAAAAGCTAAGATTACCATTACAATTTAAAACAAAAATTAAAAGTGCAGAAACAGCCAGATGAACTTCATGATCAAACAAAGAGAGGTCGGTCCTCATCCAACAGGTACTGTAATTTAGCTATTTCTGAACACCTGAATGTGAATTTTACTCACTTTGATCAATTGGATTCAATATGGAAGTTAATCTCTGAAAGACCAGAAATAACAGTGTAGGAGCAGTGTAGGAGGAGTATTTTCTGGCAAAATGAAACATCTATGTAGTGGGATGAAGAACTAAGAACTAAGAACTACAGCTGTAGCATTTCTCTAGTCAGTCACGTCTTCCCACCTGCCCCTGGTTGACCAGCTCACTGGTGAAATATTCAGGGAATAAAGCCCCTGTCATGTCTTCTGAATGTTTTTCTAGGGGAAGCAACCATAAGGTGTTAAAGGGGAACAGAAAACCTACATGTGGAGGTAGAAATCAAATCTGCAGGAGCAAGAACAAATCTGCTATGGAGCTGAGGTTTAACTCAGTTCACCTTAAAGTCCGTTTGAAATCAAAGTGAAGTGGTGATCAGTGATTAGTTATTGGTCCGACTAATCACATTTATTTTTTTGGCCGATTTCATATTTGCAAGTACATAACTATATTTAGTGTTTAATGAAACGCAGTTCAGGCATCGAAACAAAACCTTAGTTTTCATCTTTAAACCTAAACCTACCTCTGTTAACATTTTGTGACGCCAAAGGGCTCTACTGCCAATGCATCCACTTCATTAATAAAGGCATTACCGGACGATCCTGTTCGAAACAACCAATTCTTCCTTTGCATCCCATCAACCGGGACTGGTCAATGGCTAATCAAAGGGGCTTCACCATTTTAATCTTGTGTTACCGAGTGGTTTCCTTCAAGCCTTCAGACAAATTAAGCCCTGTGTAGCTTTTCCAGTTTGCAAGTCTCACGACGGCCCGGCGGTATGGATCGGAGGACGGATGCGGCAATCTCCAATCACAACGCAGGCTCATGGGGTGAATGAAAGTCAATGACTCTGGCAGAACTGGGCAACACTATTCCTGTCAAGCTGCTGCCTGAATAAGGACCTTTAATGACTGAAGGACACGGTTACAGAAAAGTGTTACTGGAAGTTACTCAGTTCATAAATCACCCCTCAGTAAGCGCTGTTTGAATCCAGTTTCATAACACACTCCATTTCCCCCTGCCGTTCATTGTGAAACCAACAAGTTACTTTACTGTGGCCCCTTTTGCCTTTTATATACCGTAGTTCTGCCTCCAAAACGGGACATTACGTGTTCGGCCATTTCTCTTTGGTTAAATGAAAATCCTTCCAAAGACAAACTGGGAAGACTTGTACTTCGTTCTCCGGGAAATAAAAGGATTCTAAAAAAATAAAGCTGTCAACGAGGATTTTGTACGGAACAGCAGTGTTGGTGTATCTCTGTTCTTAGGCACGCGGGAGTCTCGAGTCTTGAGTAGCGCAACACTTTGGACTTACTGCACGAGATCACCCTTAAGAATTCAAGTGTCCATCCTGCTGCTGCCCCCTGTTGCTCCTTCGCCCTCATCCTTGTCCTCTCTCATGCCCAGACGATGGCTGGGAAATGCGAGACCCTGTGGTATTCAAAGGCAGCACATACCATAAGCCCTGCCAGCATCACACACTGAGGCCAATGCGGTCATCTGGCACCGCTGCGCTTGACCACAATGGTGCCAGCCACAATGTCGTAGACAGTTCTGTTGTGCTGGAAAAACAGCAGCGTGATGAAGGCAGGAAAGAAGAAGGCAATGGAGAAATTTTTGTTCAGGGCTCGCACGGTCGACCTAAGAGTCCAAGAAAAACAGGGGGATTGTGTGAGTTGTGATTAATAATGAAACAAAAACAAAATACAAGAGCAAACACTGTCATTAACGTGGGATCTCCACGTTAGTGGCGACGCGATTTCATTTTAAATGGTTTCATTTTAAATTTAAATTCATGTTTTAAATGGTTATACCAGCAAGAGCCACTATGATCCTCAGGCCCCAAGATGGAAAACAGCAACAACAGCCAGTTGATGCAGTAGATTTCAAGTAATGGGCATCACAAGACAACCTGAACAGCATTCCTGAACTGAGTCCAGACTGGCAGGTCCTCAAGACTCAGAAGTGTTTCTGCCTTTGAGCTAATATGGTTTCATTTTCTTAAAGTTAATTATTTAAGCAGTCTCCTGTGTTCCTTCCAAAAGTCATTCGCAATTAAGGAGTCAAGAATAACAAAAAAACAGGAACGTGTGTAAATATGTGGCTCTCAAAATACTGGATTTGATGAGCACTGTTCTATTAATAAGCATAGGATTCATCTTTAATTTATTTCTTTAAACAAAGGGAGCAGAAAGAGGTGAAGAAGAATGCAGACTGTCGAGGAAAAAAATACATTTACAGTTAATATTCAAAGCTGATTAGACAAAATTAAGTACTACGTCAGGAGAAGAAAGGCTAAGAAACAACTTGAACACTATGACCAAAGTGCACGAATCCATGTAAGATTCCTGTAGCTGCCTTAATAAAACTGTGATCTTTTTCAAACTATTGCAATTCAAGCTTTTATTGATAGAATGACAAAGTATGTTTTTTAACTTCAAATGAAACCTGAAAAAAATCAATGACAAAGAAACAAATGAACTGTAACTTGTAACTACTTTCTAAGGAAGTAATCTTTCCATATTATTCAATAAACTGGTTTTTGATGCGCATCTGCTTCAAATGCCTAAAACAAACCCCAACATAAAATAACACTGGCAATCCAATTGTATAACTTCTGGTTCTACAGTTTAAGTCAAAACAAAATGGAAAAGATGCCCTGAACTAAAATACTCCTATACAGTGCACTGATAATTCCTGAAATCCTCCCAATCTCGCTGATAACATCTAAGCAAATGCATTTAATAGTTAGAACTGCACGTTAATGAAACCTTATACCTGACTGAGCCCGAGAGGGAAAGATCACGACAGGAGGTAATACAAGATGAATGATGTTGATTTCACAAGAAGGAAACGGCAGCCTGGATCACAAGACCACAGATTACTCAGCACAAAACAATCCCTCCTAATAAACAGGTGGGCAAGGAAAATGACTGATGAGGATAGCATCAAGTAACACTGAAAACCAGATGGAGCTTCTTCTGGGGGAAAAATGGGGCAATATTCATAAAGCTTTAGAGTGCCACAAGGTGACTGTTTTTCAACTTTCCTTGGGTCGGGGTTGAAAAGAAGGACGGCACTAAGACACACAAACTCCATTTGGAAGAGTTCACAAAAAAAAATCTATGCTGACAAGCTGAAGAGGTCAAACGCCATGACGGTGTAGGCCTTTGCAAAACTGGGTTTCGCACCTTCGTTACAGATCCACTTTCGCTGTATCTTTGAAAGGTTTTTAGCCTTTTAACACTGAACCAAAGCAAAAAGCCTTTTGATTTCAGAATTGTTTTCAAGACGTCTAATTCTCCTATTGCTGGAAGACAATAATAATTTGTATTACCTCGAAGCATCCTGAGTTTATTTCAAACTTTAAGTTGTTCCATATTGACAACATTGCCACACAAAATATTTCTGAATTTATGATTCCATTAAATGACTTCTTTAAAAAGTGACTGCATGTTTTGCTTTTCAGCAGCTTTGGCCCAAGACCCAAGATGCACTGCAGGAACCCCACCAGCTATTTACAAGGGGATCCATAACCTTTACAACAGGTGGCAGTAGTGTGCAGGAGGATGGGAAACACCTTTCCCACCGGTGAAGCAGATTTAGTGGATCATTCACAGCTCGGTTTACCCTTGTCTGCTTTTAGCCCTTATGTTCTTACAAAACAGTTACATTTTGTTATATGCATATTCTACTACTGAAAATACAGTGAGAGTTCCATAAACTGAAAAATCTGACAAAAAAAACCCAGCACCATTGTATGTATTCACCTTTCACGGTATAAAGTACTCTACAGTATTCATATTTTCTATCAACAGCTTGGTAGAAGCATATCTGCCTACTAGCTATAAAGAATGTAATTAAGGTCAAAGGAATATTTGAAGATTTGGTGTCTTTGCGCTACCTGCCAGAAGCCCGATGCTGACAAGCTAATCCTAAAACCTGAATGAACAAACGGAAACTTGCGCAGAAGCAGCGAAGCCGAGACACTGGTTTGAACCTCACCGATCAATACACAGGTGGACAATGCCTTCCTGTTTCAGGCAGGGGACGATCGGATGTTAGTGGAATATAGATTACCCAGAAAGGCAGCAGGGAGGGCCGATGGCTTTGTGCTGTACTTACGCAGACAAGGTGACGTTCGACGCCGGTACCACAAAAACCCGATTGGGCCGCACAAGAACCGATGTGTCACAGGTGACAACGCGGAGACCCAGCAGAAACTTCCCTGGAGTGGCCCCACCAGCTCCCCAGATGCAAATGATCTATAAGCAAGAATTTATTTTCCTCCATTACTTAAGAAAGAGTTATAAATCAGGTCTTACAAGAAATTACAATGGAGGCTTAATACCGATTCAGAACTAACGAGCAGCGCAGAGCTCATTTTTCAATCTGAAAACATTGGGATATAGTGTTCCATGAAAGCAATTAGACTTTTAACATTTACATTTGAATCTAGGTGCAAATGAATTACCCAATAAAAAATGAGATCTTACCCTTTAACATTAATACTTATTATAATAAGGAATCCAAAGATAGGAAAAATCCAATAGTGTTTCAATAAAAATAAGACCTCTCACAATTTCACAGATGGGATAGAGCTGCAGATATGTACATTTTGGCTCCTTGCAGGAGACCAACAGTTTTCCACTAGAATGGATACAGTGCTAACTCAGTGCTCATGAGAGTTGAAAGATCACCGTAGCACTCTTTCCAAACTCTTGCAAGATCCAGGATTAGCTTTTTACCCTATTCAGTCAACTCGTTAAAAAAAAGGATTCAATAAAAGGACACTCTTTTGCTCTGGTATACAATGGATGGAAACTAGTATCATCTGGGCTAGAATAGTTTCACCTCATAGAAGCACACCAACACCCTGTAGATCAGCGCAACGACCATCATTTTCTGCAGTTCTTCCATCGAGGTGTCCTCATCAATCTCTTCAACAATAAAATGCATGGCAAACTTGGAAATGTCCCTACAGAAGGAAACAAAAATACCACAGGAAATAATGGCTTAAAACAGGACTTATCGACTGGAATATGAACATGAATTAGCCCCAACGCCATCCCATTTTGACCATGTGATGACTTTATGTACATTTCTGCAGTATGATGCTTGGTTTTGGATGATTTAATGTACATACATCAACTGTCAACCTTTATCCTCATTTGTGATTTAGGCAACATTTGGTCTCTGAAACAGATATTCAGCCCTCTAACCTCAACGGGCTCTAAGTACTCCTAATTAACTCCCTCTTCTAGTTTAATAATTATAGTACTTTTAACATACACATCTTGTGGTGTTCAGAACTTTGCAATATTAACAACCCCTAAACTGGAAAACATGTCGGCTTATATACAATAAGAAAAAGAGATGCCCGCAATACCCTAACTGCACATATAACCCAATCAGCTGTGATCGGGTTTGTTTTTCTCTCTTTTCTTCTCTACGTGAAACAGAATCATGCAGAACTACTGAGAGCACAGTCGTGCAAACCTAATCACCAGCACAGAATTCTTTATGAAGGCAGGAAGACTTTATATAAGAAATACCAACATCTGCTGGAGGCAGAGTGCTGGGAACCAATGTTCGAATATAAATCCTACCCATGCTGTAAACAAATCTGAAGTGGTTTGGTTAAAAGGCACAAATGTATATTTATAAGAAGTCATTACAAAAGTCACAACAAAAAGTAACTCAGTCTTAGTCTTACATTTACTGGATTAACTGCTAGGAATAAACCTGAAGAGCTTTTAAACAGATAAACTGCCATATGATACTGTACTGGTGATGCAGTAACCAGATTAAATTGTTTTATTCTTAAACTAGAGTCCATGTTTCATAGGAATGACTAACAAGTTTCAGTGGTACATTGTTGGTACACTCTTACATATATGCTTATAAATGTGTACTCCAGGAAACAATGATAATGTATACCCTCTGTCTGCTTTGCTTGATGATCCTGTTTTTAATTTAGAAAGTCTTTTACCAAATATCTCTGGCAGGGTTGAAAGTTACTTCCTGCCTCTATATCTAGCCAATAGTTGAAAGAGTTCCTTATTCTCTTTAATGCATTTTCCAGTATATTAGAATTAATTTTTACCATGTATATTAGAAAACTCTTGCACACAGTGTACATCTAAAATATTTTCCTAGACTTGCTTAAACAAAGAGATTCCATATTTCTATTCCTTCAATTTTATTGCTAAATGAAGGAAGTTAATTCGATTTATATTCTGTTAATTTAAGAGGGTTGTAGCCATTCAACCTGCTTATCCAAATGACTTTTTCCATAAGCCGGGACCAGATCTAAGTCAACAACAGTCCTTGTTTATTCACCTACAGGACACACTATATATCATGCACAATAAAGAAACATTATTCATGCATTAAGGCTTTCAGAACATTTGAACTGTTCACTGACTCACTTCATGCCACTGAAGTGCATGATGATGAGCACGATAGTTGCCTTTATGAAGAAAAGGATGAAGAAGTCGACCATTTCTGCTATGAACCTGTGCAGAGGAGACGGAATGGTATACTCTCGTCCTGCAACAAACAAAACAAAGTGTCAAAGACATCTCACATCACTGACTGCTAAAATGCATTCAAGTCTTATCCCAACTGTGTTACTACAGCACATCTACTGGTCTACAGTTCCTACAGGAAATACACAGAGAAGATGAGGACCAAGATTGCGTTTTGAGGCAGATGGTTATAATGCTCAGAAATATATTTTAAAAACTCACTTTCACGGTCCTTTCTTAACATAACATGTAACACATAAAATAAATTAAATAAGTAAAATGACCCCCCAAAAAAACAATTGTAAACACCCTGCATTGCTTCACAGGGTTTTCACATTAAGAACAATTAAGTCCATCATCTTTTATAGGGGAAGAACCTGTGATCGGTACGTCGTGATGCAATGTGCGCTTTTATAAAATACCAGCACGATTCTTTCTACAAACTCTGCCATTAATACTGCAAAAAAAACACCCAAAATTTTTAGACAAAAACCACAACGCCTCATTTTTCCACCAGCTCAGATTAGTTAGTAAATAGCAATAGACACTCACTTATTTCCTAGCATGCTGGGGAACAAAGACGGAGTTTTGAACAGGATCACATCTGGATTCCTTAGCCTAAAATACACTTTTTTGTTTTTCTTTACTATTCTTTCAGTTATATCTGCCCTCAAGCCTTCGGTCTAGAATTCTCCAGACTGGATGCTGGGTAGCCATCAAAGTACTGGGACCAAGCCCACTTCGGGAAACCAGTTTTCCTCTTTAGATATTCAGGATTATGCATTTCAAATGCTGGACAGTAAAGTGTCTAACGATTCCCTACTTCATATTATAGTCCCTTCAGACCTTCTGCCAAATATAACATTACATTGTACACAGTACTCTGAGTCTGCTTTAGTGATAGTGATATTTCTAAGGGTGGCTCAAACCCCCTGTATCACAGAACTGGGTGGTCTCTCGGAGAGACCTCACCCCAAACCTGCCTGCGGAGTTCTGGGAAGATGGAGATACTCCCCGCATTTTGAGTTACTTGGGATGGTAATAAGAAGGCTAACGTTTTATATACATCATAGCGTCACAAGAAGATTTCTTCTACGTAACTGCTTTACACATCCAGAGAGGGCTGAGTTTGTCGTTATTACTTCCCAAAGATTATTTTTTTTTAGATCTGCAGGGACATGTCCTACTTTACAGCTTTCCCAGGCAACGTTTCAGGTACAAGTGTGAGCTTTAGTAAAACCTTAACACCGCTTTCACTCACCCACTGGTGAGTTATTCATCGACGCCTTGCCCAAGTTACACAATATGACAAGACGCCATAACGGAAACGAGGAGCTACTTCCCAGTGATGCATGCCCTCTGACTTTGAAAGACCACAACTGCGGGCGTCCAGTAGGTAAACCTAACCCTTGTGTTCTGGGATGACAGCCTAAGGATCTTGCAGAGTTACAGATACAGCTGGATCTATTGGCAGGTACGTCCCGCACTGGAACATAACCTACAGTGTTAGACTGGCCAAACAGACAAATGCAAAGCGTGTTTATCCTCCTGTGTAACTCGTGGTTACTCCGTCTCTCCCGGTACTGACGCTCTGAAGGGGATCTTTTCTTACCCGGCTGCGGTGCATTTCCATTCTGCTGCAGTACCGGCCTGTCCCCCGCGGTCAACTGCCCGGCCTGCGCCCCGGCTGCAGCGTGACCCGCAGGGGGGACAGGGAAATACGGAGGCGCGGCGAAAGGGAAATGACTGCTGTACCAACTCCGTACATCGGCCGGGGAAGGCCCCCCTCCTCCTCCCCAGGGGGGCGCTGAGCCGTTCGGGTTAGCGGGCGGCGAGAGGGAGCACGGCGGGAAGGCGTACGCCGACATCGCCGCCCAGCTCTGCCAGTTCATACACCCCCAGTAGTACTGCCACATCCACTCCTGCACCTTGCCGCAGTACTCCGCGGCCGTCTGCCGCCCGCCCGGCGCCGGCCTCTCTTCCGACCCCTGGGGATCCCCCAGCCTTCCCGCAGCGTTCATGTCTGCGCCCGTCCTGCGCCTCGCCTGAGAGTTTTTAGCCGCGGGATCTTCGTCCGCTCTCTCGCCTAACCTCTCCTCCGCGTCGGCCATGATGAGAACTGGTGTAGCGAACACTTGAAGTGGCAGAGAAGTCCGGGGGGAGCCTGAGCAGTGTAAACACACAGGAGAGGCGTTCAGTCGGTCATATATAATTGATCGTATCAGTATTTAAATAGAAAAACTATACTACTTGGAAACATTTGTATTCCGAGCAACACATGCACAATTATCCAAATACAGAAACATCCAAACGTGGATGTTTATAGAGGGCGCCCTCTTTTTTTCACAAAATGTTGGTATAGTCCCCGATCTGGTGACGTACTTCCGCAGGAAATGCGTCGATACAGTACTGGTAGAATGGCTGTCGAGCTGTTGCTGAGAATTTCACATGATGGATAAAGGGTGATGGTGATGGTGATGGTGATGATGGACATCAGGGTGTGCAGACTGACCCCAAGCGAGATTCTGTTCACTTGAGCAAGGTGCTTCACTCACAACCGGTTAGATGGCAGAGTTGTGTAGATGGTTACTCTCCCAGTAGTCATTGACTCAATTTAAAGAAGGGGTAAAATGAAACAACTGTATATACAATGTACAAAACAATAAAAGGCACAGGAAATACAGCTTGATGAATTACCAGCAAACGATCAGCAGTGTATAAGTATCTGATCTGAGGAAGAAGAATGAGCAGGCTTCGTATAAGAGGCAAGGGGCCGGATAATAATTAGCTGATGGAGCAGAAGAGATAATAATTAGCTGATGGAGCAGAAGAGAGTTGATAGGGAGGGGTGAGAGCAGGCAGTTGAGGAGAGAGGCAGGTCAAGGAGAAAGCCATTGGAGGGTGTGAGTTGTTTGCAGTGATTTGTATGTGGTCTGGGGTCCCCAATCAAATATGGAGGTTTTGAGTGATGCCCAATCGTGTTAACTGCCATACCTGTTTCTGTGCAGACATTTCCCGGAGGCACTGCCTGCAA